GAAGGTGGTAGAGAAGCAGACTACGCAGACATTTCAGATTTCCAGAGGTGAGCAATTTATTTACAGTGAACTTAATTTAATGTATAACTTAACAAAACTTCCCCCCAACTCAATTCAATTAACAAAACTCAACATAACATGGCTCTGGTAACACAGCTCACCTCTCCTCTCTCCCCTGAATCTGGTAGAGACTGGCTTTAAACAGGGCCATCAATTTCCCTCCAATTGCCCAGCCAGTACCACTCACTCAACTGAGGGATCTAAAACTCTACACAGAGAAAACCTCTACACACTTCTAATATGCACATTTACACAACTAAATGGCAGTATTAATGAAAGGAAAAACATTTTAAAAAATCCCTTTAAACCTTAACACAAACAAAAGGAAGCATCTCTATGGAAAAAGAAACCCCTCCGCTTGGTTTGACCTGCTGATGTCATGTGTGAGGTTAGTGCTCCTTTGTTCTTTATGCACATTTGTGCATCAATCAACTAATATCTGAGTAATTTTTCCACCACTAATCTGCCTCAAACAGAAAATAAGGACTTTAAAACCTCATCATTTAAGGATATAGCACACTGAAGATATCAGTTAGCCTTTTAAAAGGGTGTCAAACAGCAACTTATTCATCTCATGATAAATTCTTTTAATAATATTAGATACAACAGACATGAAATCCTCTTTTTCCCTGTTTTCCTAACACATCCCATTGTCTCATAAGTGTTGTCTTGGTAGTTGGCTTGCCCTGCTTTGTCTGAGTTATTTTTGTCACACGAATGAAATAAGAGTTGATAGTAAGAGCTTTGGGAGGGAAACAGAAGTGTGAATGAATGAGAGAAGCCCAGTAGCTCAGGCCTGCTGAGACATGTAGCGTAGGATTCCCATAAGAAGAGAGCGATGCTCATGAGTATGAACTGAGATTGTTAAAACAGACTTATCCAGAAATGGCCCCATGATCGACAGGCAACCTGTCCAGGGGGTAACCTACATCTTTCCTTATGATAACTGGGATAGCCTCCAAGTCCCATATGGCTTTGAATAATGATAATTAAAAACAAAAGTTAAGAAAATGGACAGATGGATGTGTGCTGTGTTGTCTGGATAGCAGTAAGAAAACTATGAGATACATGTTTATATGTTGGGGTAAGTCCAGTCTTCAAACAGAGTAGTGAGGTAAATTATACATTGCTGAATGATGCAGCATAAATCTGAGGGCCTATCCTAAGTATTTGCAAATGTAGGCTACATAACACTGAAATTAGGACAAGATTGCACTTAGTGAATAGTCAAAATGGATATCTGCTCTCTTCACCTCAGATTTAGAAAGATGTAGATGAGATTGTTACATAACCTAACTGTGGCCAGTCTGCTAATCTACGTCCATTTAGCAAAAGAATGCATAGGCCACTGACTCAGCAATGCCTATGGAAAATAGACAGGGTTTATCTTTGGGAAAGGATCAGGAGAATGACAAATTTGGGGTTGTAATGTTTCTGTTTGGGTTTATCATATTTGTACTGTTTCCTTAAATGTCCTAATTAACTGTGGTTTTCAATGGTTTATATCCAAAGGGGAGGCAGCCCAGCTGTCTGTTTTCTTTATCACTTTAGGCTTCTGCACTC